TTTTTTGCCAATTCATTTCTTTTTCATACATTTTTCTATATGAAAATTACCACTCTCCCCCCTTTATCTGCTGGTCTCACTACAATAGATTTTTTTCCTTTGTCTAGGTCACTAATACCTTTCTCAAGATAACCTGGATTATCATACTTTCCAGGCCAGAGTTTTTAATTCTTTTGGTACCATGCCTTTAAAGGCTTCCACATAATGATTATGGCTAATCTGGGGATTGAAAGTGGATTTGTGTTCTCAAACCACCATGTACTCCATTTTGCGCCACCACCTCCCTCCTACGTGCTCAGTAAAGGATTTCCCAAAAAGTACTTTTTTTAGGTTCAATTTTCTAAGATAATTGTGAGTGCCAACATAAACCTCAAATTTGTCCAGAGGCTTTCTGGGTGTACATTTGAGGCCCATATTGAACATGTTCAGTTTATGTTTATTTAGGCTAGCCTGACTAAAGTTAAATATTCCACTCCTTGCTGTGATTTGTTTCTTTCTACTTGCCCTATACCCCCTGTATTTATTTTTGGTCCCCATGGGTCCTTACCCCGTGTTGCCATATTCCCGTCTTTCTCTGTCCTGTCTTGGTGGTCCTCCTCCCCAACCATTCTTCCCACCTGTGTGCATCCAATGTATTGTGCTTGCTAATCAGGATCTCAAGATGTATGCACAACATATAAACATTGACTCCTGTTTTTTTACTGAGAAATTATTTTAGCTGTTTGAATTATGACTTATTCCTAAAGCTTGCCATAAACAGTCTTTTTTTTTTTTTGTTCAGGGAAAAACAAACAGATTCCTCCAACTAGACAAATGAGGTGGATGTAGGAACCCTCCCTGCCAGAACACTGTTTTCTGATAGCATGACCCAATGCTCTCAGAATACATCGATCAGCCACAAACATTTTCCAGTTTGTCTATTTGAGAGAGGTCGATCTAACGATTGACTTCTGTCATACAGGGAGGGCTACACACTGCTAAACTGTCCGAATTTCAATCTGTCTATGGCCAGCTGCAATGTCTTGTAGAACAGTTGTCCTGCAGGCAGTCTACTAGCTGGCCACGTTTCTGCTGGGGTTTTGTAATAACCGAGACTTAAGGTGGCCATAAATGGATCAAAATTTGGCTGGTTCATCAAGGAGCGACTGAATTTCCATCCATCTATGACTGCTTGACCGTTGAAGAGCAGTCAATCCAAGGAACAGCAGCTCTCAGAAGGGCTTGTTGGAAGTGTTTTGCTCGATCAGGGCTGCAGCCTATCAGCTGCAGCACTGATCAGTGTATTTTGATGGTATGCATAGGAGCCCCGCTATTGGAATACATGAGTACAGCAGGAAAGATTCCCTCATGCACCTTGAATAGGGGAATCAGTTCAGTTTTTTTTTAATCAAAATAAAAAAAACATTTTATGGCCAGCCTTAGTAATGATTGAAATTGAAGGAAATAAACTTGACACTGTCTTAGCTGAGCTGAGGTCATGGAAATTGCAGCATGACCAATTGATCTCTGCAAAAAAAAAACTTTTTACAACAGGCTGTTTACAAGATTAATTATTCCACATTTATTTATGACTCCCCATTTCTGCAGTCCAACAAAATCGATTTGCTTTGCAAAATGTGTAAGACCTGTATCCTAGCCCTTTGTCTGTATTTCTGCTTTTCTGATAAAATAAATTAGAATATATCTGTTTTACATAACTGGTTATGCTTTGTTGGATGCATGCTCCTAGGTTATTGCAGTTGTTTTGCCTACACCTATCATAAAGCACAAAGCTGTATTACAGTTCTGCACAATACAAACAGAAACTACTGTGTTATATCACCAATGCAAAGCTGTTGTGTATCAGATTACCAATGGCAAACATTTCATCTGACAAATGCAAAATTAAATGTGGCACACTGTTTTGCATTATGCATATTTGGCAATAACATGAGCTCATAAAATTTCCGTTGCTGTATTGTCTATTTTAGTTATTATTGTTTACTTTGTTTCCTACTAACTTTATAGTTATTTCTAGAGAAATCTAAAATTGGTTTATATTTTTTGAGTAAGAAGATTTGTGATCAAAAATGATTACTTCCCTTAAAGTGTTAGTTCAGTTTTACAGAAAAAAAGTAAGCGTACACTTAACACCAGACACCCTCCCCACCCCACTGGTCCTTGATGTACTTAACTCCGGGGTTGCCGAGTTGTCAGCACCCCTGCAGCCACTCCAGCAGTCCACGTATTTGGAACCCTCACTCTTCTCCCTCCTCTCTGTCAGTGCTTCCAGAACAGACAAAATGGATTCTGATTGGTCAGCACCGTCTCTACCTGCTAAAGGTTTTGTTCAGTCAGTCTTTTAAACTGATTTAAACACATCCCCCCCATCATGCATAACTGTTTCACTGTCCTATCCAGGTGTGCATCATACAATGAATTAACCTTATCATCCTGTATTTCAGAAGTGTAGTTAGCCATTTCCCTGGAGTTTTTTTTTTTTTGAAGCTTAAAGTGTTATTAAAGTCAGATTATAAAAACGCTCATTAAACACTACATAACAGAGTGCACATACTCACAAAATCACTTAAGCATTCATTTTGTGTAGAGTGATATATACCTGGTTGATCCTGCCTTCAGCTGTCCCTCCCATCTTCTCTATGTCCCCACCATTGCAGGCTGAGGTTGTGTAGACCAGCTGGTGTCCTCTGCTGAGCATGCTCCCGTTTCCATTCCTTCCTAAGCTCTTTATTTCCTACTTTTTCTTAACTGTGCAGCCCACATGCCTATAGAGTCACACATATGGGCGTATACACAGGGATAAATGACACTCCCCTCCCTCCACCTTCATGTCCTGCTAAACACTATGGTGGGCAGGATATAGTATGCTGATTGATTACATTAAGAAACTCACAAAAAGCTTAGTGTTAATATAAATCAGTATTAACTATATCAAATGTAATTGCTAATACCTGTAAAGTAAAAAAGAGCCTTGGATGCAGGTGCCATCTGAACAAAATGAAAGCTAGTGTTAGTCATCTTTGACTCTGCCTACACCATATTAATGCAAAAAAAATACACATTTCATGTTCAATAAAGATTTATGGGGAGCTGTAAAACAGGTTTTTTTATATTTATAACTTCATTTGAATTGCTGTATTGACACTGTTTTTCAAAACAGGCACAGCACCAATCAGGGCTGTGCAGACTCAAACTCATACTGTAGTGAGCCTTTATCACCATAGTAATAGAAGCCCGTCTCAAGGATCCTTCCCTGCAGATGCCATAGAACAGGGAAAGATCATGTGACCACACAACAGGGAAAGATCATGTGACCACACAACAGGGAAAGATCATGTGACCTCACAACAGGGCTGCAGGAATAAGGTACTTGGAGGATAAAAACAAATACAGTAAATTAAATATGGCAATGAACACTTCTCTTTTTAGCATCACTTTAAATCCAAGTAAACAGCCAAATACACAGATAAATAAAGGAACTCTCCTACCTGCCAAAGGACTTCTGTCCCTTCAGTCCCGAGATTTACACAGATATATCACATTGCACAACAGTCTTGTCTGAACAGAAATGAGCATATTAGTCTGCTGCTTCTCTTTTTAATGTACAGTCACCAGCTGGTGGAGGACAAAACCTGTAATTGTTACTAAACTGCAGAAGAATCTTGCTTTTGCTTTAGTTTTTCACTTCTGAAGTTTGGTAACACTTAGGGCTCATGTACACTGCAGCTGATAAACTCACGTTTAGGAGCTTTTCTGCATCTTTTTCAGCAGCCCCTGAACTCAGCCTAATGTTTTTCTATGTGTCCATGTACACATCTTTGTTTACAGGCATTTGAGTTTACAGTCGTTTTTGTGAACGCGCACCAAACTTACGTTCAGCAGTCGATTTTATCAGCGTTTCAAATGCTAAACACGGCAATTCGCGTTTATAAGCGTTTGCGTTTGAAATTTTTTTGAACTCTGCCAGTTCCCAATGCTGTCCAGAGCCTTTTTGAAAGATGAAAAATGCATGCAAAGCGTTTTCAAGGTGCTTAGATGGACAAAACACTTAACAGAGGCTGTTCCTACCAAGCTTGTCACACATTGTAATGACCAATTCACACCTCAGACCTCTCCCACCCTTGGAAACAAAAGATATGTTAATGACCATTCCTCATGAAGACCCCCTGCCAGGTGGCCTTAATGACTCCCTCCACCAGACACCTGTCCCACCCTAGGAAACAAAAGAAATGTTAATGAGCAACTCACACCTAAGCTAATGTCAACACATGCTGCTGTGTCTGCTTCTACTCTCTGTATTTCTCTGAAACAGTCTGAAATAGTTAATAATTTACCACTTTTCAGTGCATTCTGGACATTTTGGAGGTTCTCCTGTGCTTTTCTTTAAAAAGCGCTTCTAAAAGCAAACGCGCATAAACACGGTATGCAAACTTGGCTAAACAGACTTTTTTTAACCTACGTTTTCCTGCAGTCTGTTTCCATCGTTCAGAAGTGTCCTGTGTACATGGGGCCTTCCAGGTCTCATTCCACCCCTAACTTGTGAATAGACATTGAAAGGACAAGCAGCAGAATAATGAGCTCATCACTCTACTATCTCATCTTATCAACATTCTCCTTGTTAGCACTTCAGCACTACTGACTAGCTGCTTCTCCCTCCCTGTGCATGCAAGGGAGTGACATCATAGGTGGTTTGGCCATTCAAGCAGCCGCAGCACGGGAACCTGGAAGGAAGAACTGGTAAAGATGGAAGCCTTCTTCAGCAGTGACAACGCATCGCTGGAGAGCTTCGTTCTAAGGTAGGTCTTTCATAATGTGCTAGTATGCAGTGCATACTAGCACATTGTGCTATTACTTTGCAGCAGGGGACATTTTTTTTTTTGCAAATGAGTTTACTACCGCTTTAATGATGTATTCATGTATACAGAGTTGCATTGATTTGTGTATGTTATAATTTAGTTTTGACCAATCTCAAGTTAATATACCATTTGCTGCTTTTATAGATGTTACCTCTACGTTAAAGCTACTCAATGATTCTGCAAACAGGGGACTTTTTGACTGGCAGACACCAAAGGGGTGTATACGTTGTGCTGTGGTTGGAAATGGTGGAATCCTTAATGGTTCCCGCAAAGGGGAAGAGATAGACCAACATGACTATGTTTTCAGGTAAGCGTTGAACTGACTAGACTGTGAGGGCCCATTCACGTCAGTATGCAGGGGGCATTTTTATGTGTTAAGTGCATTAACTAGACTGCAACACACCAAAAAAAAGGACACCGTGCATTGAGGTGCAGCACATGTGCACTCTGGAGTTGCCCTGGGGTATCATTCACAATATATGTCACCAACACATCACTGCATGTTGAGGCATGAAAGCTGTTCCATACAACTTAGTAAGGGCCTGACCTTGCTTAGCATTGTTTATTATCAAGGATTGCTGCATTGATGGAGTAAGGTGCAGTTTCACACAGAAAGGGGCATTCAACACTGCTGTCTGCTAAGACAAACTATAAATACAGTGCCTTGAAAAAGTATTCATACCCCTTGAAATTTTCCACATTTTGTCATGTTACAACCAAAAAAGTAAATGTATTTTATCAGGATTTTATGTGATAAACCAACACAAAGTGGCACATAATTGTGAAGTGGAAGGGAAATGATAAATAGTTTTCAAAATGTTTACAAATAAATATTTAAAGAGTGTAGCGTACATTTGTATTCAGCCCCCTGAGTCAATAATTTGTAGGACCCCCTTTCGCTGCAATTACAGCTGCAAGTCTTTTTGGGGATGTCTCTACCAGCTTTGCACATCTAGAGAGTGAAAGTTTTGCCCATTTTTCTTTGCAAAATAGCTCAAGCTCTGTCAAATTGGACGGAGAGCGTCTGTGAACAGCAATTTTCAAGTCTTGCTAAAGATTCTCAATTGGATTTAGGTCTGGACTTCGGCTGAGCCATTCTAAGACATGAATATGCTTTGATCTAAACCATTCCATTGTAGCTCTGGCTGTATGTTTAGGGTCGTTGTCCTGCTGGAAGGTGAACCTCCGCCCCAGTCTCAAGTCTTTTGCAGACTAACAGGTTTTCTTCTAAGATTGCCCAGTATTTGTCTCCATCCATCTTCCCATCAACTCTGACCAGCTTCCCTGTCCCTGCTGAAGAAAAGCATCCGCACAACATGATGCTGCCACCACCGTGTTTCTCGGTGGGGATGGTGTGTTCAGGGTGATGTGCAGTGCAAGTTTTCCACCACGCATAGCATTTTGCTTTTAGGCAAAAAGTAAAATTTTGGTCTCATCTGACCAGAGCACCTTCTTCCATATGTTTGCTGTGTCCCCCACATAGCTTCTTATAAACTGCAAATGCGACTTCTTATAGCTTTCTTTCAACAATGGCTTTCTTCTTGCCACGCTTTCATAAATGCCAAATTTGTGGAGTGCACGACTAATAGTTGTCCTGTGGACACATTCTACCACCTGAGCTGTGGATCTCTGCAGCTCCTCCAGAGTTACCATGGGCCTCTTGGCTGCTTCTCTGATTAATGCTCTCTTTGCCCAGCCTTTCAGTTTAGGTGGACGGCCATGTCTTGGTAGGTTTGCAGTTGTACCTTACACTTTCCATTTTCAGATGATGGACTGAACAGTGCTCCGTGAGATGTTCAAAGTTTGGGATATTTTTTTTTATAGCCTAACCCTGCTTTAAAGTTCACAACTTTATCCCTGACCTGTCTGGTGTGTTCCTTGGCCATCATGATGCTGTTTGTTCATTAATGTTCTCTAACAAACCTCTGAGGGCTTCACAGAACAGCTGTATTTATACTAAGATTAAATACACACAGGTAGACTCTATTTACTAATTAGGTGACTTCTGAAGGCAGTTGGTTCCACTAGATTTTAGTTAGAGGTATCTGAGTAAAGGGGGCTGAATACAAATGCACACCACACTTTTCAGATATTTATGTGTAAAAAAAATTGGAAAACCATTTATCATTTTCCTTCCACTTCACAATTATGTGCCACTTTGTTTTGGACTATCACATAAAATCCCAATAAAATACATTTATGTTTTTTGTTGTAACATGACAAAATGTCAAGGGGTATGAATACTTTATTAAGGCATTGTAGTTGGCATTCCTCTGTAAAGTGTTTTACCAGCTGGATCTGGGTGTTATTCCTGCCTGTCTAGCTGGGCAGAAATGTTTGTCAGCACAAGATAAAAGCCCTTACTTTTTGGTCAGACTTGTCCTTGCACATTCAGAATTGTAATAAATAAGTTATAGCAATGGTGCCGCGCCCTTTAAATGAATATGTATCTATATATAAAAGGTATAATTAATGAACTGCTTACAGCAATTCATTAAATTGCTTAGTAATGAGAGAAATATCAAACAATATAAACCAACATTGGTAGCAAAATAATGGTTAGAAAATAATACATATAAATGTTTAATTCATGAGTGAATACAATCAAATGTGAATCCCATCATGCTTGCGGCTTGCTCAATATGCTGTAACAAACTGCTCATACAATCCAGATAGTCTGTGCTAAGGGACTACTGGGCCATAAAGCGTGGATTTACTTTGGTGTTTTCCTTTGTAGAAAGCAGACTGGGCAGTTCACCTCCTTACTCTCTGGTAGTGCTGTTATGGGTGAATCCAGGATATGGGTCCTCCCTTCAATAGGCTCTATATATTTTCGCCCTATTACTCCAGGTATACACCGGGAAGAAAAGAGAGAGAGATAGTGCCTTATCTTTGGTAAAAGGTGAATATTTATTTGTGCCAATATTGCACTCACAAGGTAAAAAAATCATTCAGCGCTTTTAAAAGTGTGTCCAGCCTGAGCAGTGTGTAGACACACACACTGCCTGAACTCGCCGTTCCAAGGAGTCGGGTGCGTGGTGACGTCAGTGCCCCTCCCCAACGCGTTGCGCCACAGGGTCACGTGGCTTCGTCCGGGGGATGTAATTGGGCGAACACAAGATGTTGACTCCTTATATAGTATCCAGCGCCATTTTCTTGTAGCCCTTATTAACTCCGCCATAATTTCGAAGTCATAATATGCATGAGAATCTTTTGGCGGTGATTGACATAAGAAGTGACAGAAAAGTAACAGCTTATGTTGCACTTGAATGTATAAATGTAACCAAGCACCCTATGGTTTTTAAGACAGTGTGTGAATCATCTCTCCAGGTGGTCTATTAACATACAAATGTTACTATATACACAGAAAAAACACATGTTGTTTTAAATATATATATACTACATTCTATTAACATCGGGATTGGAGCAAAATAGCTAAAAAAAATATATATATATATTTCCTATGTGGAATGTATAGATGGCAAAAAAAAAATATATACATTCAGAAAAATAACATATATAAAATATAAATAAAAAACTGATAAGAAATAAATGTAACCTATTCTTCATTAGATTACAATAAAGTAAAAATAAGAATGCAAATAGAAATAAAAATGCATAACCAGTGCAAAAAAAATAAAAATAAAATAATAATATATAAAAATTATTTTAAAATACAATTAATACTTAAAAAGTTTGGAATCCTAACTATTCGTTGAAAAATACTCCTCCCTAAATAGAGTGCACTTGGAACATAAACAGGTGTACTCATCTGGATTAGGGAGATATTAATAATCACTGATAAAACACGAGAGATCAAACTCTTTATTGAGGCCTTTGGGTGCCAAGCTGTCCAATTCATATATCCAATATGATTCCTTTTTACTAATCTCTCTGACTAAATTATCCCCTCTCCAGTGTTTGATATGCTTTTCTATACCCCAAAATTCTAGTCCTATGGCTTGTTGTTGATGAAATTGACGAAAGTGTAGTGGAACATTGTGATATTTATATCCCTTATTGATATTGGAAACATGTTCTTTAATGCTTTCTTTTAATGATCTCTTTGTTCTACCAATATAGATTTTATTACAAGGGCATTTTAGAGCATATATAACTCCTTTAGTATCACAAGAAATAAATTGTTTGATTTTATATGATTTACCATTAATGGGATTTTGAAATTCCAGCCTTCGTTTTGGATTATTTTTAGCCCTTAAACAGCTATAACATCTACCACATTTATAGAAACCTATTCCTTGAAAGAAGGTGTAATTGGTATTATTACTAGGTGGGTTTAAAATGTTCTTAACCACTTTATCTCGGATGTTAGGGGCTTTTTTGTATATAAATTGGGGTTTAGTTGGAATAATATCTTTTAAATCTTTTATCTAATTTTAATATATCCCAATGTTTGATAATAATTTGTTGTATGTCTTTATACTGCTTGTTGTATGGCATAATCATAGCTACATTATTTTTATTCATGTTCGATTTGATTTTAGTAGTGGGTTCTAAAAGTTGTTTTCTATCAAGTTCTTCAATTTGCTTTCTTACCTGTTCTATATTTTCTCTCTTGTATCCTTTATCTATGAACCTTTTGACTAAGACGTTGCTTTGTTCTCTATAGTCTCGTGTGTTGGTACAGTTTCGTCTCAAGTGCAGAAATTGGCCTCTAGGGATATTATTATGATTGATTTATGTTGGTGTCCATTATTAGATTCTGGTGTATAATCATTCCTGTACTCATTTCTGTAATTATTTCTGTAATCATTTTTGTACTGTGGTATATAGTGCCTTCCTTGTGTGGGGTAATACTGAGGGCCTCTATTGTGATTGCCTCTTTCTGTTTTTGAAGTATGGTCTACCTCTAGATTGCATATATGGAGGTGGATTTCTATTGTGGTAGAATTGGTTTTGATTATTCCATCTATAATCATCTCTTTGATATTGTGGAGATCTATGCTTGCTGGAATGGTTGGATGGTGGGAGTGGGTGATTACTATATTGTGTAGATTTTTTATTAGAAAATCCTTTTGGTGAATGGTTAATGGGTGCTTTAGGTGTAGCATTTTTGAAACCTATAGATTTTTTTCATTATAGGTGGTTTGATCATTTCTATGGGTTTAGTGGGTGTATTTTCTGTGGATTAATGTTAGAATGTTGCCATTTATAAATTTGTTAGAGATTAAATTCTTACACAACTTTCTGATATTTTTTCTTTTTCTTATTTTTAATTTCCAAATCTTTGATTTTGACAATTTTATTCAATTCAGTCATATATTTATTGAACTCTGGATGATCTTTGTATACCTCCACTTTTCCTTTATATTCTTTCAGGGCTGATTCAATTTTCCTCATTTTTCTTTGTTTCCTTTTGCTAAGAAACACTAACAATTCCATACTTTTTTCACTGAAAAAATTAAACCATTCAGTGATATCATCCTCTTCTAATAATCCATCAGCTCTGGGTAGGTCCCACCGTAATTTTTTGGGAATAATCCTCTCTTTGAGGTATTTTTTTAAAGTGGTTAAATCCCACCAAGCATTAAGCTTTTTTTCCATAATGTGTGTGGTTTTTCTAAATAGATTATGTATATTAATATCCACTTTTTCATCTTTAGTGAAAATACTATCTATATCAATAGTTCTATCTTCCAAGAAGGAAAAAACCTCCATTGCGTTTACTAACAGGTGTATGAGTATAGAGAATGAACTGTAGTGGAGTTACCTGTGAGCCACTAGGAGTAAAAATGTGAGATCTGAATAAGTTCTCAGGCTCCTCTTTACATCCTCATATATATGTATAATAGTAATAAATAAGTTATAGCAATGGTGCCGCACCCTTTAAATGAATATGTATCTATATATAAAAGACATAATTAATGAACTGCTTACAGCAATTCATTAAATTGATTAGTAATGAGAGAAATATCAAACAATATAAACCAACATTGGTAGCAAAATAATGGTCAGAAAATAATATATATAAATGTCCAATTCATGAGTGAATACGATCAAATGTAAATCTCATCATACTTGCGGCTTGCTCAATATGCTGTAACAATATATATTTTACAATATTTATATTTTACAATGTTTATTTTTTAATTTTATATTTTATTTTTTTATTTGCACTTTTATTTTATTTTTGTATTTTTTTTTGCACTGGTTATGCATTTTTATTTCTATTTGCATTCTTATTTTTACTTTATTGTGATCTAATGAAGAATAGGTTACATTTATTTCTTATCAGTTTTTATTTATATTTTATATGTTATTTTTTTTGTTGAATTTGTATATTTTTTTTTTTTTATTTTGCCATCAATACATTCCACATAGGAAATACTGTATATATATTTGTTTTAGCTATTTTGCTCCAATCCCGATGTTAATAGAATGTAGTATATATATATATTTTAAAACAACATGTGTTTTTTCTGTGTATATAGTAACATTTGTATGTTAATAGACCACCTGGAGAGACGATTCACACACTGCCTTAAAAACCATAGGGTGCTTGGTTACATTTATACATTCAAGTGCAACATAAGCTGTTACTTTTCTGTCACTTCTTATGTCAATCACTGCCAAAAGATTCTCATGCATATTATAACTTCGAAATTATGGCGGAGTTAATAAGGGCTACAAGAAAATGGCGCTGGATACTATATAAGGAGTCAATATATGGTGCTCGTCCAATTACATCCCCCGGACGAAGCCACGTGACCCTGTGGCACAACGCGTTGGGGAGTGGCACTGACGTCACCATGCACCCAACTCCTTGGAACGGCGAATACAGGCAGTGTGTGTCTACACGCCGCTTAGGCTGGACGCACTTTTAAAAGCGCTGAATGATTTTTTACCTTGTGAGTGCAATATTGGCACAAATAAATATTCACCTTTTACCAAAGATAAGGCACTATCTCTCTCTCTCTTTTCTTCCCGGTGTATACCTGGAGTAATAGGGCAAAAATATATAGAGCCTATTGAAGGGAGGACCCATATCCTGGATTCACCCATAACAGCACTACCAGGAGTAAGGAGTGAACTGCCCAGTCTGCTTTCTACAAAGGAACACACCAGAGTAAATCCACTCTTTATGGCCCAGTAGTCCCTTAGCACAGACTATCTGGATTGTATGAGCAGTTTGTTACAGCATATTGAGCAAGCCGCAAGTATGATGGGATTCACATTTGATTGTATTCACTCATGAATTGGACATTTATATGTATTATTTTCTAACCATTATTTTGCTACCAATGTTGGTTTATATTGTTTGATATTTCTCTCATTACTAATCAATTTAATGAATTGCTGTAAGCAGCAGTTCATTAATTATATCTTTTATATATACTGTAGATACATATTCATTTAAAGGGCGCGGCACCATTGCTAAAACTTATTTGTTACTATTTTACATATATATGAGGATGTAAAGAGGAGCCTGCGAACGTATTCAAATCTCACATTTTTACTCCTAGTGGCTCACAGGTAACTCCACTACAATACATTCAGAAGTGTGCTTTTTCATGGTGATCAAAAATTAAATTCAACACTCTGCTTTCTTATGTACACACGAACATATTGTAAATCAGATGCATGGCTTATTGTTTTTATTGCAGAACTACTGAAATTAGTGCAGCTCTTTTACAGAGTTACTTTTTATACCTCGTGATCTTACCTGGAGCTGGAACTCCATGACCTGTTATGTTTTGGAAACACTGGGATTTCATAAAGTTTAAATGGTATTACCTGTCTGTACAGCTCCTTGTGTACTACTGTCAGCAAACAGTTCTTTCTTGTACTTTTTCAGACTAAATGGCGCAGTGATTAAAGGCTTTGAGAAGGATGTTGGTACAAAGACTTCATTTTATGGCTTCACTGTCAATACCATGAAGAATTCACTGCTTAGATATTATGAGGATGGCTTTACTCAGACACCAAAAGGAGAGGTAAGATACATAGGTAGCTGCCATTACATGATCATTGAACCCCTTTGCTCAACCTCTCACAATAAGGCGCTCAACAATCCCCCCTTTACACCCAGGCAAAGACTAGGTTCACACCTATGCAGGTTGCATTTAATGCGTTTCTGCATTGCATTTTGCGTTTTTGCACTTGCGTTTTTGCCACATTTTTGATGCATTTTGTTTTCATTTTTTTTATTTTTCTTGTTGCTAGGCAGATTTTAAAACAAAATGCATAAAAAAGGCAGCAAAAACGCAATACATGCTTTTCTTCAGCGTTCCCATTGAATGTTTTGCATTAAAAAAAGTCCCTTTCCAAAAAATGCACTAGTTGAAAACCCAGAGATGTGAACCTGTCCCATAGGAAATCATGTTAAATGGACTGTACTGCATTTCTGCAAAAAACTGCAGAAACCGCTTAGATGTGAACCTAGGGTAAGGAAGAGTGTACTTAAAGTGGTTCTATAGGCTTAAAATTTTTTACCTTTATGCATTCTACGCATGAAGGTAAAAAACAACGTCCGTGCGTTGCTTCCCCCACAGCCCCCCTATAACTTACCTGAGCCCCCTCTCGATCCAGCAATGTACACGGGAGCCTTGGGTCTCCCTCTCCTCATTGGCAGAGACACAGCATTGGGAGCTATTGGCTCCTACTGCTGTCAATCACAGTCAGTGAGGAGACAGCAGGGGGTGGGGCCGAGCCACGGCTCTGTGTGTTTTATTGACGCATAGAGTGGGGCTTGGGAGCGAGCATGCAAGTGGCTTGCTATTGGGGGCACTGGTCAAGGGGAAGGATCGCCAGCGGGGGACCTGAGAAGAGGAGAATCGGAGGCTGACCTGTGCAAAACCACTGCACAGAGCAGGTAAGTATGACATGTTTGTTATTTTAAAAAGTAATGAACCTTTAGTATCACTTTAGAGGGCATGTCCAGGCATTATCCAGATTTAACTCCACACCACCCTCCCACTCAACCCTCCTGCTTTAGATCATATCTTAGCATTGCTGTTTTTCCTGTAGCAAGAAACAGCTTTTATTATTCCTTGTGAACTCATCAGCAGGCTTGGAAAATTCTTGGAGGACAGCATTTGGGAGGTCATTTTATATTGGTGGAGGCATGCCCCCAGATTTCCATCTACCAAGACCCCTTTCCCTGCACTCAGTGTGGGAGGGCTCCTCGGTTTCAAGGCAGCAGCATTGTTTTGCTAGGAAAAACGAATTAAATGTATGCATGTGGAGTTGGACTGAGATGGGTGGGAGATAGGTTGTAATCCAGCAGGAAGGCCTGTCAATGCTGGTTAGGATTTAGTGCTGCAGAGACAAAGGAGTTGATTTACTAAAGGAAAAAAGACTGCCTACTTTGCAAGATAATTTTCTTAACAGCTTGGTGAGTGAGAAGAAGCTCTGCTGACTTCCATCATCCAATCATCATCCAATCACATTCAAGCAAAAATGCTGTTTTTTTTGTATTTTCCTTTTACATGATTGGGTATTTTTTGCAAAGCAAAATTTCACCACATTCAAGCTCTGTGGAAAATTCCAGTGCAAAGTGGTGGTTGTAAAGGTACAAGTGTTATACCTTAATGCATGATATGAATTCTGCATGCAGCTCCCCCCCAGCCCCCTTATAAACTTACCTGAGTTTGATCTCAATCCAGCTTTCAGCATTTAATCTTGATCAACTATTAATTTGGGACAGGCTGGAGTTATTTATGGCCACCCTTAGAGTCTTTGTTTTAGTAATTCCAGAATGTTCTGCAATCTACGAATCTGAAAAGCCATAGTTAAACTGACAGATCCAAGAGAAAAGACACGTTCACCAATTTTTCTAGTATCTTTACATGGCTTATTATTGCCTGGTCAGGGCCATCTTTAATATTGATTGGACTTTGGGCAAACATTTTCTTGGGCAGTTTCACTCTCCACCCCAACAAAAAACAAAAACACACATAGACCTATCTAAAAAAACTTTAATAATGTAAACAAAAGAACTGGTCCACACTCACTGACTGATTCTGACTCACTGTTTGGTTACTAGAGGTTACTGCACATTTTTTGTATTGCTAATGTGAATATATAGAAGCTGCGCTTGGTGCCCAAATAACTTGAACTTGAATTCCAAAATGATACAGCTGCACTCAAAAAAGCTTGAAAAAATACAAATAAAATAATATAAAATACTAACATAACACTAATATTGTTGAGTTGTGTGAGAATATATACAAATAAACTATATAAATCAGCAAGGATAACAATTAAATGTTGTATAAATTAAATAAAATCACCAAAATCGTGATAACTGTGAAAGCAATAAAGTCCATATAAAGCAATAGTCTGTATATGTATGTGGTCAATGAAAAGTGTCCATCATATCCTTTAGATGCAATATAAAGTAACCAGTGCGCCCCACCACTACTAATAATACAGCCTCTTACCAGATCATTAGACCCCAAAATAGAGGTGGTCTAAACTGGCATGTAGCTGCATAGGTCTTGCTCCATGTGTTTATTCATATAGGGAACACATGCGGTGTTACCATATTACACTCCACTCCAGTCTCCCTTCCTGCTCCGTGTGATCGCTCAGCCAGAAAAAATGAGACTCCAATAATGTAACACCACTAAATGCTTAATAGGATCAAATAAAATTCTATATAAGTATATAAGCACAAGTCTTAAAAATGCTGCTGGTGCTGGCTCCAGACTGCCGTGGGTGATGTCACCACAAACTCCACCCTGCCCTGACGTACATTTCGTCCAAACAGACCTTGTCAAGGGGATCAGCCTATGCAGCTACATTCCAGTTTGGACCACCTATAATTTGGGGTCTAATGATCTGGTAAGCGGCAGTATTACTAGTGGTGCTGGGTGCACTGGTCACTTTATATTGCATCTGAAGGATATGATGGACACTTATTTTCATTACTTTCACTGTTATCATGATTTTGGTGAATTTATTTGTTTATATTTAGAGACAACATTTAATTGACATCCTTACTGCTCACTGATTGGTTGCTAGAGGTCACTGCACATCCTTACCACTCACCCATTGGTTGCTAGAGGTTACTGCACATCATTACCACTCACTGATTAGTTGCTAGAGGGTACTACACATCATTACTGCTCACTGATTGGTTGCTAGAGGTTACTGCACATCATTACTGCTAACTGGTTGCTAGAGGTTAATGCACATAATTATTGCTCACTGATTGGTTGTTAGATATTACAAAAGATCACTACAGTTCACTGATTGGTTGCTAGAGGTTACTGCGCATTATTACCACTCACTGATTTGTAGAGGTTACTGCACATTATTACCGCTCACTGATAGGTTGCTCTAAGTTACAATGCTTCATTATCACTTACTTATTGGTTGCTAGAGGGTACAGCACATCATTACAGCTCACTGATTGCTAGAGGTTACTGCACATTATTACCGCTCACTGATTGGTTGCTAGAGGTTACTGTGCATCATTACCAATTATTGGTTGCTAGAGGTTACAGCACATCATTACAGCTCACTGATTGGTTGCTAGAGGTTACAGCACATCATCTCCTCACTGCCTGCACACCATGGACTGGGAAGTAAGGGGACCCACTAATAGATAGAAACTCCTAGAACTTGTTATTAGCAATGAGCAGAGCACACACAGCTATGAAGGTTAACTGAGTGCAGGTAGGAACAGAGCCCAATGTGGGCAGTATCCCTGAGGATGGGCTGCCAGGAATAAATGACTAGTAATGCCACCTGCAGTAGAAGGTCCCACTGGGAATAGAGACGTCATACAGGACAAGTTGAACTAACACAAAGTTTGTCCTCGTGCAGCTTGTTGTCGGGTGTCCAGATGTATCCAGCACCTCTCTCTCCTCCGCCATCACCTTCCATCCCCATCGCCAGCTCAACCCACAAAAGTCAGTGTTTCCCCAGCCAGGTATAGCAGCACTCCGGAGCCTGTCCTCTTGTCCACCAACACAAGCTGCGGCCACCCTGCTATATGAGCCAGGCCACCACTTTCATTGGCCCTTTGCTCTCTCCATCTACCACTGGGCCGCTGCGGATTGAACAAGACGCTGTAGACTCCCATGGTGAAGGCTGCATGTGTTGTGTGTCCTCACATTGCGGAATGTGCGCAATGAAAATCAAAAGCTGGGATAACTATATGCTGGTAGCATGGGCTCTAGGGGCAGCTGCTTTGGACCTCACAACAATGACTGGGCCCGGAGCAGCTGCCCCTTTTCCTCCATGTGCCTAGTCTTACTGTAATTTAGCTGTGTCCTGGTGTTTTCAACATTTCTCTATTGCTATTCTACAAATATATACATGATATAGAAAGTTTTTAAATGATAATAGATTCCCTCTTTTTCCTGCATGAAAATACAGGGACTTCGCTACATCTTCATACCTTCAAATAAGAGAGATTATGTCATGCTGCGCTCCAGCATTTTAGGAGTTCCTGTTCCTACTGGAGTTGACAAGGGAAATAAGTAAGTTGGTACCATGTGTATTCTATCTAAAGCACAAGATTAATTCAGTACCACAAATAGAGATGTAACATCAACCATGGCAGAAAACAATATGAACAATCTCCTGTGCTCAAATGTAGTGCTCAAAGACCAATAGATTTCCACAGCTTAAATTCCAAAATGAATGTTACCACCATGCTTTGCTGCCTTCTTAGGACTGAGGTTGTCTCTTTATGCATAGCACTGAAAAACAGAAAAGAGGGCGCACCATATTACCTTTAAACTCCATTTATTGATGCATAAAACCAATCATTATACTCACAAATAATACAAGCTGCCTGGTTCTGATGAAGAGAGGTTACCCCTTGAAACACGTCAGCCATATTAGACCTGGATGGTTTCTTCCCATATTGAGGAGCAAGTGCTACAGATTTGGCATCTGTCACTTTGAATATATTGGTATGTTTGTGAACTCATTTGTTTGTGAGTATAATTATTGTGTTTTATGTATCATTAAATTGTGTTTAAAGGTAACCCTGCTGTTGTGTGATCTTCCCATTGTTTTTCAGTGCATGGCAGAAAACAATGAGACCCAAAAGGTACATAGCCTATGTGGACTCGATATACAGTCAGGTCCATAAATATTGGGACATCAACACAATTCTAACATTTTTGACTCTATACACCACCACAATGGATTTGAAATGAAAAGAACAAGATGTGCTTTAATTGCAGACTGTCAGCTTTAATTTAAGGGTATTTACATCCAAATCAGGTGAACGGTGTAGGAATTACAACAGTTTGCATATGTGCCTCCCACTTGTTAAGGGACCAAAAGTAATGGGACAATTGGCTTCTCAGCTGTTCCATGGCCAGGTGTGTGTTATTCCATCATTATCTCAATTACAATGAGCAGATAAAAGGTCCAGAGTTTATTTCAAGTGTGCTATTTGCATTTGGAATCTGTTGCTGTCAACTCTCAAGATGAGATCCAAAGAGCTGTCACTATCAGTGAAGCAAGCCATCATTAGGCTGAAAAAACAAAACAAACCCATCAGAGAGATAGCAAAAATATTAGGCGTGGCCAAAACAACTGTTTGGAACATTCTTAAAAAGAAGGAACGCTCCGGTGAGCTCAGCAGCACCAAAAGACCCGAAAGACCACGGAAAACAACTGTGGTGGATGACCGAAGAATTCTTTCGTGGTGAAGAAAACACCCTTCACAATAGTTGGCCAGATCAAGAACACTCTCCAGGAGGTAAGTGTATGTGTGTCAAAGTCAACAATCAAGAGAAGACTTCACCAGAGTGAATACAGAGGGTTCACCACAAGATGTAAACCATTCGTGAGCCTCGAAAACAGGAAGGCCAGATTAGAGTTTGCCAATCGACATCTAAAAAAGCCTTCACAGTTCTGGAACAACATCCTATGGACAGATGAGACCAAGATCAACTTGTACCAGAGTGATGGGAAGAGAAGAGTATGGAGAAGGAAAGGAACTGCTCATGATCCTAAGCATACCACCTCATCAGTGAAGCATGGTGGTGGTAGTGTAATGGCGTGGGCATATATGGCTGCCAATGGAACTGGTTCTCATGTATTTATTGATGATGTGACTACTGACAAAAGCAGCAGGATGAATTCTGAAGTGTTTCGGGCAATATTATCTGCTCATATTCAGCCAAATGCTTCACAATTCATTGTGCACAGTGCAGAAGGACAATGACCCAAAGCATACTACAAAAGCAACCAAAGAGTTTTTTAAGGGAAAGAAGTGGAATGTTATGCAATGGCCAAGTCAATCACCTGACCTGAATCATGCATTGAGCATGCATTTCACTTGCTGAAGACAAAACTGAAGGGAAAATGCCCCAAGAGCAAGCAGGAACTGAAGACAGTTGCAGTAGAGGCCTGGCAGAGCATCACCAGGGATGAAACCCAACGTCTGGTGATGTCTATGCATTCCAGACTTCAGGCTGTAATTGACTGCAAAGGATTTGCAACCAAGTATTAAAAAGTGAAAGTTTGATTTATGATAATTTTTTTGTCTCATTACTTTTGGTCCCTTAACAAGTGGGAGGCACATATGCAAACTGTTGTAATTCCTACACCGTTCACCTGATTTGGATGTAAATACCCTCAAATGAAAGCTGACAGTCTGCAGTTAAAGCACATCTTGTTCGTTTCATTTCAAATCCATTGTGGTGGTGTATAGAGCCAAAAATGTTAGAATTGTGTTGATGTCCCAATATTTATGGACCTGACTGTATATGGAGCACCATTTCACTAAAATTCACCAGAAAGTTTTTTTTTATGTAATTTTTGCGGGTGACGTAAGGAAACACACCAACCAGAACAGGAAAAGAAAAGTAATCTCTTGTATGGGAACACCAATGATGGCATTTAAAATTTGTCGAAAGAATATATTTAACAAGGACAGAGACAGCATTCAGACCTTGTTGACCAAAGTTTTAACCCTTCCTCGCTCTATCCACATATAAGGAAAAAAATTTGAGCTTTATATTTTGAAATGGCAAAACCAACAATAATTTTTTTCCCTCCCTCTCTTCAGGCCTTCGTTTTTCTTTGGCCCTGAAGCAACTCCCAAGAAATTCAAACTCTTGCACCCTGACTTTCTGCTGTATATCCGAGACAAGTAAGGAAATACTTTTTTCGCTTTCCATTCTCTTTAGTGTAACATTTTTTTTTAAATGGTACCAAAGGCATTCTAGCTCTTGTGCTGTTTAGTCTTTGGCTCTTCTGTCATCTTAAATTGACTGATGAGTTTGTTTTATGTAATAAAAAAGTGGTAGTAAAACTTTTTCCTAAAGAAAACCTATACTAGTCTCATACCTGCAAGACAGGCATTGATATCCATTAGCAGTTATCACCAGGTGCCTGCATGCAGATTTATCCCATTCTCAGAGTTCCCCTAAAATTATGGACATTTTAACTTCACCTTAGAATTTGGCATATGGCCCAATTCTTCTGTTCATAGTGTATTCCTATTGGCCCACCATTATGATGGGCAACCTCACTATGAAATAGCTGAAGTTGAAATTTGCATAATAGAACACCACAGGCTTCGGAACTGTCAAGGTGCTCTTAGACAAAGTTGATTCTGTCTGAAAGCATTTGGAGGTGGCAGCTAATGAATGAGAGAGTGTCTGTTCACCAGGTGAGGTATATTCATAACCTATCACATGTTTATTTAGAGAGGTTGCTACATACATTTCGGTATTTCCAGTAATCGATTCTGAGAGAACTATTGTCTACCTACATACCATTCAACAGAACTCTCACAATGCAGCAACCTGACAGTATGGTGTCATGTCTGGAATTCAGCTAGGCTTGTTCATGGCTTTATACAGTGATGGCATTTCAGATAAAATCAAAATATGTAAGGAAGTGCAGCACACAACTTTATCATTGATGTCTTTGGGACAGGAAATAATTAGAAATAAAAAAGCCAGCAGAGGAGATAACCATTTTCTCCTATAACTAAAATTTAAAGGGAGACTATATTGCGTTAATCCTATTTTTGCAAAGGAACATTTATTGTGGGGTAGTCAAATAACGTGAGATTCTCAGAGCACTCTGGATTTTCTAATTATAAACAGTTGTCATTCAGATATTCTGTTTCTGTTGAACCTTTGCTGACCGATTTGAGGGGGTATAAGAAGAAAGAGCCAAGAGTAAATGTGAGTCCTCACATTTATTTAATAGAGAAAATGCACAAAATCAGCATACATTTAATTAAAAAGGTTGTGGATGAAAATAACTTTTGCAGTAGATTTATACAATACCTGAGTGACATTAAAGCGAAGCTCCACCCAAACGTGGAAGCTGCACTTTAAGGGCTGCTCTCCATTAAGGATTGGCACCGGCGGGGGGGGGGGGGGGGGGGGGGGGGGGCTGGTACCCGAATTTGACAGGTACCCGCTCCCACTTCCGGTCCGATCGCCTAGGCGATCAGAAGCGGAAGGTGTCCTCCCTCCCTGTAGTCTTTTGGGACGCGTGACAGGTACCAGAAGACTACAGTACCATTCATGAAGTGCAGCGCTACATGCGCATGCGCAGTGGGTACCCGGCTGTGAAGCCGCAAGCTGTCACAGCTGGGTGCCCACACTGAAGATGACAGCCGGTGAAACGGGCTGCGCAGGACACACCATGGGATCGAGTGACAGGTAAGTGGCTGTTTTTTAAAAGTCAGAAGCTGCAGTTTTTGTAGCTGCTGACTTTTATTTTTAGACAGGGTGAGTGGAACACCGCTTTAAGATTGCTAATGCATTGTACAGTGTGTGTCAGCACAGCCCTTTGCAGTCTGCATTAGGAGTGTGTGTGACAGGGTGGCAATGCAGGAGCACAATTCGGAGATAGCTGTCACCCTATAGCTATAACAGCAAGATTGTTAGATCAGTAGGTATTATTTTAAAGCTGGACTCCAAACACATACAAAAGGCTGAATTGAGTGCAACTCATTAATATATAATTACATGTATTTTTGTTAAATGCAGGCAGTGTAAATTCCTGAATTTGAATGGTATCAGCCTCTTGCAATTTCCTATACAGTAGAGCTCAGAATAGGAGAGGGAGAAGCAGCACAAGTAGTCAGTCAGTTGTGCTGACAATTAACATGCTGTTAGGAGAGTAGAATAACAGAGAAGTGAGATCATCAGTCCGATGTTTCTGTTTCACTGTCCATTCGCTGGATGGGTAGAAAAGGGGAATACAAAAGCTGTAAATGTTTATGAGCAGCAGAGAAGAGTCAAGTCTCCTGCTTGCCACACAGGACTTTGCTGTATGGCAGAGTGGTGTAAAGCTCAGAACTGGATGGACAAAAATGCAATTCATTTGTCAAGTAAAACTGATCCCTTATATGTACTTTATCTGTGATATTTGCTGTATGCTTGGAGTTCAGCTTTAAAAATGTGGAAAATAACTTTTAAATATTACACTAATATGTTAAAGGTTAGATGAGCATTTAGGAACTGAATTGGATCTACTTTAACCTCTTGTCCACCAAGATACATGTAGAAATGTCCTGATATTCAAGGGGTTAAGGCAGTGTTTCTCAACTCCAGTCCTCATGGACCCCCAACAGGTCATGTTTTCAGGATTTCCCTCAGATGAAACAGCTGTGGTAATTACTAAGGCTGTGAAACTGATCAAATCACCTGTGCAAAATAATGGAAATCCTGAAAACATGACCTGTTGGGGGTCCATGAGGACTGGAGTTGAAACACTGGGTTAAGGCGAACTCATGGCTGCCACTGCAGTTGTGAAAAATGGTATTGATTTTAAGAGCCGACAAAGGGCTCTCATGTAAAAGAGACCCAGGCAGCTCTGGAGCCATTCAATCACTTGTACGAGGCTTTGAATGTGTGACCCCCACACCACTGTAGCTGGAGAAGCAGCAAATCAAGCATGATATGTGCTTGATTAGCTGCAGTGGAGGGCAGGATTGACATTGTCCATCTAATAGATACTTCATGTATCCATAAAAAGGATTTGCACATGCTATCGCATAGGAGTCTTGTTAGACCCCTTGTGATAGCAATAAAGTTAAATAAAAGGAACACATTTTAAACATTGTTTAAAAATTATAATTAAATACAAATAATAAAAAAAGATAAGAATAAATAATAAAAATAAAATTTAGACGCACCGCTGTCATTCCCATACATTCCCCAGTGCAAATGTGTAGTGTAGGGCATGCATGTATTTGTAAACATAAATTGTGCCATACAACTGAGGTATCACCACAAATTTTGGAGTGAAAGCAATAATTCCAGGGGCATAATTCACTGTTAACTAAAAAATTATACTCACCAATGGCTTTTAAAGCATCGCCTATGTAGAATTTCAAGAGTGCATGCAGTTGTAAGGCTTTCTATGTTTGGTATCGATTTACTGGGCACAATCCCATCTTTTTTATTTTGCCCAAAAAATTTTATAAAATATTGTGTTTCTTTCACTAAAATTTATTCTAGTGCACTTTCCCTGATAATATGCATTTAACCACTTCAATACCAGGCACTTTTACCCTCTTCCTGCCCAGGCCAATTTTCAGCTTTCAGCGTTGTTGCACTTTGAATGACAATTGCGCAGTCATGCAATACTGTACCCCCATGAAATTTTTATAATTTTTTTCACACAAATAGAGCTTTCTTTTGGTGATATTTAATCACCCGAGTTTTTTATTTTTTGCCTAAATAAAACAAAAAAAACTGAAACTTTTGAAAAAAAAATGCATTTTTCTTTGTTTCTGTTATAAAATTTTGAAAATAAATAACATTTCTTCATAAATAAAATGTATTCTGCTACATTTCTTTGATGAAAATACCCCAAATTAGTTTATATTATTTAGTCTGTAGGATTCCACAAACCAAGGTATATATACCTGACAATTGATCAATCCTGATGTACTGACGCCCCATCTCATTTCTTGAGGCCCGAAAACGCCAGGATAATACAAATACCCCCCAAATCACCCATTTTTGGAAAATAGACAGGTGTATTTAGTAGGAGGCATGGTGAGTTTTTTGGAGGTTGTAATTTTTTGTTACAATTTTTTGGAAAATGTGGAAGTTAAAAAAAAAAAAAATCACAATTTCTTTTTTTTTTTTTTTTTTTTACATATTGTCACCAGTCCAGTACAGTGTTATTATATAACTGGTGTGGTGGTGATCAGAGACACTGACTGGTGACAGTATGTAAAAAAAAAATAATAATAGAAATTTTTTTTTAAAAAATGCAATTTTATTATTTTTATACATAATTTTTTTTCTTTTTTTTCTACTATTTTTTTTCAACACACTGTGACCAAAGCAATACAGTGTTAACATAGTAACATTGAACTACTCTGGGCAAGTGATCAGTATTTTTTTTTTTGTAACACATTATGATTGATAATACCAATGTATTTCATTGATATTTGCAATCATTGTTACTGAATGAAACTGATTATGTTGTGATTAGCTGTGATTGGGCAAAGCTCATCACATGATACAGATGGGCTGTGATTGGCCCTGTCTGTATCATGTGACTGCTTTGACCAGTCACAGCTAACAACATAATTGTATACAATGGATGGCATGATAGGAAGCCATCCCTTGTATACAATTGCCATGTGATCTGCTGTGATTGGTCACGGCAGTTACATGACACTGGCAAGGGGCCTGTGTAGTGATGTCATTGGCTGTATCCCGTGGACACAGCCGTTGACAGATGGTGCCACTGCACGGGCCCCGCGGCCGCATGAGCGTCTCGTTTTGACAGGACGTCATATGGCGCCCAGTCACAACAAGAAGTGTTCCTCCCGGCCGTCATTCTGCTATAGGCCAGCCAGGAAGGTGTTAATGAATAGCTGAGCAAATATCGTGCAACATAAAAAATTGTAGCTGTCACCATTTTATTCCTCATGGTCTCTAAATTAATTTATAGCAAAACATGCAGATTTTAAGATGTGTGCAAAAAATTATGAAATTGCCCCAGTAGACAAGTGATTAAGCAAACAAAAGAGGGCACCAGCATCTAAGTGTAGAAGATATATTAAAAGGGTTAAAATGCGCTCACTGCATGGAAGGGGTTAAGCCGCTTGGCATCCAAAATAAGGTGAAGCCATCTAGGGAGCCGTAGGAGGTTGCAGAGGTCGGCAGGGATGCAGCTGGAGAATACCAGCTGTGCCCGGAAGCTTCTGGTCTGAGGACACTGTCATCCAGTCTGAAATGCAAGCCTGTAGTGATGTGGCAGGAGGGCTTCCGGGATGTGTCAGCCGTCCGCACCAGGCTTGGTTCCACTCGGCTGTAGTTGAATGGGTTCAGGTGCGATGCCACGTTCCATGTATCACGTGTGATGGGCTTGGTTACAAGTTTCAGGACTAAAGAACTACAATTTGCCAAACCAAATCTCCTGAGGTTTTACTTCTTTTAACTGTTGAGTTTTATTTCTTGTAAATACTGGCAACAAAGGTAAATGTCTTCAGTTTTATTCTGTTTGTGCCTCTCACAGACTTCTAAAATCAGAGATATTGGATACACAGTATGCTAACGTGTACATGCCAAGCACTGGGGGACTGATGCTGCTTACTGCCCTTCATACCTGTGATCAGGTAAACAGAAGACCGATGCATGCTGTTCTTGTATCAGATACAGTACATCTTCTATCCAGATCCTTATGTCTGTTTTTTTTTCTTTAGGTTGATGCATATGGATTCATCACCTCGAATTATAACCACTACTCAGACCATTATTTTGATAAAACAAGGAAAGAACTTGAATTCTATGCCAATCATGACATGCTCTTGGAAATGTACTTGTGGCAGAAGTTGCATAAATATGGAATAATGAAGCTGTACTATAAATGAAACGATACCGGTACTTTCCCATGGAACGCCTGTGCTGCTTCATCTGAGATAACCCCTATGGGGCAAAGACTTGATGGGGAAAACTAGATACAATGAACCCAGAGACTTCTGTAGGAGAAGACTTCTTGGTCTGCAGTTGCCTCACCATTGCTAGGACTATGAAGACTTGTATGAACAGGCCCATAAATTAGGTCATCCTTGCACTATAAGCCAAGTAAAATTCATTGGCTTGGTAAATGTATTAATTACATTGTATAATTATTTAAAGAAGATATAGTTTTGATCATATGCTGGCAGGACCTAGCATTAAATATATTTTTTCATGCTAAAAGATGTGTAGGTATAACAGAACTTCTGACAATGCCTTCACTGCTTTTCTCCCCAGAAGGATGGAGCAATCCTTGTTTAGCCATTGTCCAAAATCAGCATCTCTTTTCCCAGACTGAGAAGCTGGCCTAGAGATGACACAGTCTTGTAAATCCTGATGCCTGTACAGTTATTTTCTTCAAAATTCAGCCCCTGCTGCAGTCTTTCTTTTGATGACTTGATACAAAATTACAATGTTTGATCACTGGAGGAGAGACTGAGGAAATGCATACTCCTGCCTGCAGCAGATTGCTGACATCATTTCAGCCTAGGCAAAGTCACTGGTCTGGAGCTCAAAGCTAGTTGTTAAAGTTAGATTTTTTAAAACATTTCCTGTTGATGTTTATTGTGATATGCCAACAGTTAATTCATGTAGGCTAAAGATACTGAGAAATCCACTTTAATCATCCATGCGATGTTTACATATCTTACGGAATCCAACAGAGAGATCATGATCTGGGTTTAAAGATCATCTTCCTCCTGCAGTCATTATGAGAGATCTATTTCTCCCTGTTGAAATTTTAATTTCACCAAATCACATTATGCTGGATACAATGGGAGAAATTGGCCATTTCTCACAGAAATGTGTGAAACTGCAATGAAATGTGTGGACTGCACATCCTGCTGAGAGATTGCTAGAGTTCATAGATTATAAAAATAAGCAATTGAGAAATTTAATCCAAAAGCTTCCATTTCTGGCCTAAAGTGGAACTGAAATTGTAAATAATACATATATATATATATATATATATATATATATATATACACACGCATTAGGGAGAGGAAAGGGGATCAGTGGGGACAAATTAATGATAATTTAAATGCCATATGATAGATATCACTTTTGGGTTGGATTGCCCATTTAGCAATAGAAAAGAACAACCATGAAACTAGGAGAGTGAAAAGCAGGCTACAGTTACAAGAGAAATACTTTTGCACGTAAAATGTGTCTCCTTTATCAGTTGAAAACAAGGGGCTCTTGTTTGACAACCTTTTCTCCCAGTCAGTGTTCTACAACTCTGGTTACTGGATTTAAACAATAATTTACCATGAACACTAATGGGCTAAGAAAAAAAGTACTGAGCAGGAATGGCTAAGGCTGTCCATGTATAAGCAAGGATTATTATCCAATCAGTCTGTTAACCGAAAAACAGTTGTATGTTTACAGACAGTTTTACAAGCCCCCAACTCCTAGTCATCTGATCTCTAAGAAAAAATTGTTCACCTGTAATGGGATTTTCATGGATGATCGCTGTTGTTTACTGAAGATAAGGACGTTGCATGGGGTGGCCCCAGAATTCAGATGGAACAGTCAGTCATGTTTATGGAAAGAATTTTTATGTGAAATGTCTCACGACACTTCGGTGCTTCGTTTCATGTCTGGATTTGGGACTGTCATGTCACAATGAGATGGCAGCATTTGTACTACTTTACCGATTTCTTTTGGTACGTTGGTTTCTTGATGAAGGACTTTCCGGTGCGAAAACAGGAGAAGAAAAAAGTGTTTCCCCATACTGTCTGATGCCAGCCTTGATGAAAACGTAATCTCATCTGAATGCTTAACCTTCCCTTCATCTGAACACTAAAACATAATTTAATAATTAAATGAGAAAAATAATGTAATATAAATGACTTTCTGTGGGCAACTTGGTAAAAACTAGTCTTGAACATGCAATAACTATATGGCTGCTGGGGCTACCACAATCCACTAGTAAGCTGTCTCTTCTGCCGGAGGAGTAGGAGCAACTTCCTTTATGACATCATCCGTTCCTCCTCTTCACCTCGGCCAATCAGAGCCCGTCTAGTATTCAATGACAAACAATACAAGGCAGTTCCCATGTGGCAAAAGGATAGGAATGCCCAACTTTTTTATGTTTTATGCAGCAGAGGGAAGTTGCTTCTACTCCTCCAGAAGAGCATGCAGCATACTTGATGTATAGAATGTTAATACAGTGGATTGCAGGATCCCCAACAGCCAGTTATGGCATGTGCAGGATCAGTTTTATCAAGCTGAACCACAGTAACTATGTTATGTTACATCATTAATGGAGTTCTATTAGGGCTCATGTACACTGCAGCTGATAAATTGACGTTCAGGAGCTTTTTTGCATTTTTTTCAGCAGCCCCTGAACTCTCCCTAATGTTTTCCTATGTGTCCATGTACATTTACAGACAGTTGAGTTTACAGTTGTTTTTTTGAACACACCAAACTTGCGTTCAAGAGTAGATTTTATAAGTGTTTCAAACGTTTATAAGCATTTGCGTTTGGAAATTTTTTTAAACTCTTCCATTTCCAGATGCTGTCCAGAGCCTTTTTTCATCATGAAAAATCCATGCAAAACATTTTCCCGGTACTCAAATGGACCTGGTACACCATACTTTGAGGTTTCACATGAAAGAAAATATGTCAGACACTGCTGCAATAATTTCTGCACAGAAATGAGCTGGAACACATCCTAACACCACAAAAAAAAAGACAGCTAATCTCAACAAATACTGCTCTCTCTGCTTCTGCTCTCTATTTCTCTCAAAATGTCTGTAATAGTTAATTTTTTACTGTTTTTCAGTGCATTCTGGGCATTTTGGAAGGTCTCCTGAGGCTATCCTTAAAAAATGCAAACACTAATAAACGCGCAAAAACGAGGTATACAAACGCGGCTAAACAGATGTTTTTTAACCTACATTTTCCAGCAGTCAGTTTCCATCATACAGAAGTGTCCCGTGTACATGGGGCCTTATGCAGGCTATAGACGTTTACAGTCGTTTACAGGCAGTTGAGTTTACAGTCCTTTTTTTAGAACGCACCAAACTTGCGTTCAGGAGTAGATTTTACCAGCATTCCAAATGCTTGTAAACGTGGTTAACCGCGTTTAGAAGCGTTTTTTAACTGTTCCATGTCCAGATGCTGTCCAGAGCCTTTTTTCATCATCAGAAATGCATTCAAAGCATTTTCCAGGTACCCAAATCAACCCAGTACACCAGCGCAGTCAGTTCCAGGTTTCGCGTGAAGTAAAAAAATGGTAGAACATGCTGCATTATGCTCATGATGGGATCCATAGTGAATCCATAGTGAGTACAACCAGAAAAGATAGGTAATCTCAACACATACTGCTCTTTCAATTTCTCTCAAAGCTCCTGAAATAGTTAATTATTTACTATTTTTCAGTGCATTCTGGGAATTTGGGAAGGTCTCCTGAGCAGGGGCGGACTGACAAGTCATGGGGCCCCCGGGAAATAGGGGATCATGGGGCCCCTGTGTCCTTGCCCAAACTCAAAAAAGCCTATGAAAAAGGTACCAGGGGCATCTCATGGGGCCCCCTACTGACCCCAGGCCCACGGGCAGTGCCCGAGTTTCCAAATGGTCAGTCCGCCCCTTCTCCTGAGGTTATCTTTTAAAAACGCTTCTAAACGCAAACGCACATAAACGTGGTATGCAAACGTGGCTAAATGAAACCTTTTTTAACCTACGTTTTTCAGCAGTCAGTTTCCATCATTCAGAAGAGTTTTCCAAACGCCCCGTGTACATGAGCCCTTAACCTTCAACCTTCTCCATAACACTTAAAGTGAAACAGTACTTCTCTGCAATGGCAGCATATAAACATCTCTCATGACAGGTGTACTTTAACTGAACAACTAGTCTAAATGAACTGCTGCAGACTTTTTTAAATTCCTTCTCTTACACTGAGATTTAACAAACTATGATCCTGCTTTCTGTGTGCCTTATCTATTTTGTACTTGCCACTACTGAAGTTGTAAATGTGAAACTGATGACCTTTTAAAGGATATCCAATACTAAAAAAAAAATACAAAATATATAGAATCTTGCAGTTTACCAGTGCTTAGATGTGGCAGCTGCATTCGTAGATGCAGTGGAGAAGTGAGTGACAAAAAGGACAAGAAGTTTGCAGAATCACCAGGTGAAATTCAAGGAAAAACCCTGAACATTTTAATTGAACACCACATCTGAGGACCGATAAGCTGCGTTATATTACATTTATATTTTTGGGTTTAGATGCACTTCAACTACTGTTGCAATAAAAAGGTAACCTTAGGGATAATGTATTTTTTAAGTTTCCTCTTCATCAGTGTTTTAGGGAAAAAAAAACTATTTTTAAATAAATATGTAAAAAAGTAATTGTTTGTTTGATTTCTCGAAAAGAACAAATGAGCCTGTATGGAAAAATTTCTTTTTGATGATGCAGAATATAACAACAAATTTGTGGATGGATACCAAAGGGCTAAAAGAGTGGTCTTTATACCAGCTTTTTTTATAATAAAAATAATAATGTATGTACACCTTTAAAATCTGAAAAAACCTCTGACTATGGGCAGCGTAGGTGCAAGGTGAGTATATACTCTTGGGGAGGGGAAGTGAAGTAAAGCATGCAAAGGAGATGTCCACTTGTGCATTATTTGGTCCTTTAGTTTTAGTTGTAGTGCAGTGCACTTTGTGATACCTGAGGGTGCCTATGTACTCCCGTGCCTACAATCTCATAGCTGTATATCTGCAGAGTGAGATCAAAGACACTGCTGCCTCAGACTGCTAGTCTTAGGAGATTCAAAGTGGGTTTTGGTGATGTCCCTACCGTGCTGTTCACTGTTCTACTTGCTGGAGGTTACTACATAAAGAAGTAGTGGTGCACCAAAATGAATATTCTGGTACCAAAACCAAAAATTCAGGATGCACTTGGCCAATAGTTTACAAAAAAAGTAATGTGGCTGGCAATTTTGCATTGAAGTCACTAAGGGGCGTTTTTGCATTGAAGTCAATAGGACACAATTTTGCATTGAAGTCAATAGGACGAGCAGGGGTGGACTGACCATTTGGAAACTCAGGCACTGCCCGAGGGCCCGGGGTCAGTAGGGGGCCCCATGAGATGCCCCTGGTACCTTTTCATAAGCTTTTTTGAGTTTGGGCAAGGACACAGGGGCCCCATGATCCCTTATTGCCCGGGGGCCCCATGAGTTGTCAGTCCGCCCCTGAGGACGAGATTTTGCATTGAATTCTATAGGACACAATTTTGTATTGAAGTCTGTGGGAGGCAATTTTGCATTGAAGTCACTAGGGGGGTTTTTGCATTGAAGTCAATAGGACACGATTTTGAATTGAAGTCATTAGGGGGCGTTTTTTCTTTCAAGTCAGTGGGACGTGATTTTGCATTGAAGTCATTAGGGGGTGTTTTTTCTTTCAAGTCGGTGGGATGCAATTTTGCATTGAAGTCAGCTGGATGTGATTTTGCATTGCACTCTATGGGGTGCGGTCTTGCATTGAAGTCAGTGGGACACAACTTTGCATGGAAGTCTATGGGACGCAGCATGCCTTTATTGACACCTTTTTTTTCTGTTGGCAAAATCTCGAAAACCATATTTTTGGCTGATATATCGGTGCATCCCTACAAGGAATAAAAGCCTGCCTCTACCAAGAGACAGTGCAGAACCAAACAAAGCAAGTCAGTAATGGGGAAAAGGTCAGCTGCAGGGAGACCACAGGTAATGTTGAGATTTGTCCTTTAACCTCTTCCTGCCTATTCTGGGCACAACTTTCAGAGCTCAGCTCCTCTTTAAGGCCTCATTCATACAGACATATTAGGGATGCATAACATACAATTCTGCCTTTTTTTCTACACCCAGGAAGGCTGAGTACTGCATACAGCTGCACTTAGACATTAATGGCCTATTTATTTATACGAATATTTTAGATACAACCACCACGCAATCAAAATTAATTAATTATAAATCCCACTAAGAATAATTTGAATAAAACACCATTAATCAAAATTACAAATAAATTCAATGTGCAGTGAAACAACAAAAGTCCATCATAATTTCTTCCACCTCAATAGAGTCTACTGTAAATTTTCCTTTCTACTATTAAATCCACCCATGTTCACACCACTCAAAAGTGCTTTCACCACCTTCCAGCAAGGCTGCTTACCCCAGATAATTGACCTGAGTTATAGGTCAAAACAGCGCCTTGCCCTTTAAGTGCACCAATCCACACCACTGTATAGCTGTCAAATCTTTACACGACTTCTCACCTCTTCATATAGATACTCATAGGAATAAAAAGAACTTCACAATATGTAAAACTCCAAATTACCGTTTATTAAATCTAAGCATGTGACACTGACAAAATAAGTGAACTATATCTAGTTCACACAGAATCAAGCGCCTCTTTAAGTTAATGTCGCCCTTAAGGCTGGGTAATGGCTTCAAATACCTCACCAGGATGGCTGACTTCCGTATCCTGTGCGTGATGATGTCATCTAGCCACACCCTTGATGCGTTTCGTCATCCAATTATGAGCCATTTGACAGCTTCATAGTGGTGAGGATTGGTGCCCATAAAGGGCAAGGCGCTGTTTTGACCTAACGCAGGTCAATTTTCTGTGGTAAGCTATCAGGAATGGACTCAGCACTGGTGGTGGGACTCACCTGCCTGGTGGGCTGCAGTACCAGAGCTGACCAGCGGGTGCTCTCAGCAGCCAGAAGCTCACACGTGCAATCAGCCAAACCTGGGGCTGATTGCAGAAAGGTGTATTTAAGGCATGACCAGGCCTGTGCTCTGGGCCTTGGTGTATGTTTTCCCATGAGCCTCTGTACCTGGTATCTTGTGTTCCTGCTTCGTTGCTGACCCGGCTTGATCCTGACCTCTGCTGACTGTCTCCTGTTGAACCCCTGGCTTGCCTGACCATCCTTCTGCCTGATCCCCTGTACCGTGCTGCCCGTGAGTTACTGAACCCGGCTTGTGACCTTGACCATTCTCGGCCTGCTCCTTTGGTACCTTGCTGCCCGCACGTTGCTGACTTGGCCCGTCTGACCACGCTAACTACTCTGCCATCCATCCATCCTGCACGGATCCAGCCGTACCTGCACATACCTCTGGCGGATCCCTCTACTACTAGCAGGTGTACTCAGGGGCCGCGACCTGGTTCCTGTCTGCTCCAAGTCCATCCCCACCATCAGGGGCCCTGGTGAATAAGCAGACTGGGACTTAGACTCCGCGCCCTGGGGAATCCTGTCCTGAGGACCGCTAGAGGTACCACCAAACAGTCATTACAGAACCCTACGGCCGGCCTGACCGTTCCACCTCTCCAGCCCTGACTACGCCTGTGTTCCTGCACCTACTAAGATTAGTGGAAGGTTGGTTTGTTCACTGTGCGTTTATATATATATATATCTGGGTGGCTAATAATAAACTGTATTATACTGTACCTGAAACCTGCGTTTCCCTGTGTCAGTCCACACCTTTCTGGTCATTCCTAGATTCCTGACATAAGCGGCCTCACTGGAAGGTGGTGAAAGCACTTTTGAGATTAAGGAGCAGTGTGAACACGGGTGGATTTAATAGTGGAAAGGACAATTTAAAGCAGACTCAATAGAGGTGGAGGAAATTATGATGGACTGTTGTTGTTTCACTGCAAATTGAATTTATTTATAATTGTATTATCTTGATTAATAATGTAATTTGTTTTATTCACATTATTCTTAGGGGGATTTACAATTAATTCATATTGATTGCTCAGTTTTTGTATCTAAATTAATCAGATATTTTGGGTGTGGGATCACATGACATTAGCTGTTGGAATCAAATCAATATATTGAGTATGGATATGCACTAAATTTATATATACATTTATATTTTTTTTAGTGGCAGCGTGGGAGATTTTGAATCTGTTATTTCTTTATACACTGGCACACGCATTAACCCATGTGTAGTGTACTGACATTCCTTGAATGCAGTCTTTCTGTGTTTAGGAATTGTGTCCATACGCAAGTTTTCTGTGTGTACTGGGGCATAACCACATACAGCTATGCAAAGCCATTCATGTCTATGACCAGCTTTATGAAACACCTGGACTAAGTATTTTACATTTTATGCCCCTAATGTGCCCATATCCATGAGCTCAATTGTCAGCCATGTACGTATGCAAATAACAATGCAAATACCCACAGCATATTTGTAACTATTAAAATTAATACATGAACCAATCAAAACAGCGATGCCAAATATATAACAAAATGAATTGTAAGGAATAATTTGCAATATGATTTGTAAGTAATCCTGTAAGCAAAACATATGTAAATTGTAATGCTCATGCCTGGGGATCCCATTGGTATCATGTGAGTGAAGATGAAATGCAAACAACAACACAGACTATAAAAAGTAAGGCAGAGTGACAAGAATCAATATTTGTATGTGTATTTAAATACACTTTAACCACTTGCCCTCCAGAGGACTTACCCCCTTCCTGACCAGGCCATTGTTTGCGATACGGCGCTGCGTCACTTTGACAATTGCGCGGTCATGCAACGCTGCACTCAAATGAAACTTATGTCCTTTTTTCCCACAGAGCTTTCTTTCGGTGGTATTTGATCACCTCTGGGTTAAACAAAAAAAGACCAACAATTTTGAGAAAAAAAACTATTTTTGACTTTTTACTATTAAACATGTCCAGTAAAAAAATGTTTAATAAATCAAATTTCGTAATAAATTTAGACCAAAATGTATTCTGCTTCATGTCTTTGCTAAAAAAAATCCCAATACGTGTACATTAATTGGTATATATACTGGAACTGCAAAACTGCGGTGGGCATTTTGACACTGGGCGGGGGGGGGGGGGGGGGGGGGGACTGACTAACATCCCCAGTGACACTAGTACAGTGATCAGTGCTAATAAAAAGCACTAACAATGTACTAATGACACTGGGCAGGAAGGGGTTAATATCTGGGGCGATCAAAGGGTTAACTCTTTTACTAGGGAGGCATGCTGGTTATGCTATGCAGAGCAATACAAAGCAGTATGCAGGAGCTGACAAGGGAGACCTCTCCCTCGTCAGTGATAACTCGGCGATCGGCGGGTGCTGGCGGGGAATCACCGGCCGGGACCTGATGATCAACAGCTGAGGCTGGCAATAGTGGAAAGAGTAGGGCGCGTGCACGCCCCTAACCGGAAGTGCAAAATCACGTAAATATACTCATAATTTTGCGCAACCCTGCCACCCTGTAGCGGTATTTCTGCTATAGTGCGGTGGGCAAGCGGTTAAAATTGTCAAACAGAATGATACAAAGCATGTGTTTAGTTAGGAGTGATACTGTGTGTAAGAGAACGATTACAATAGGACAAAGCATATCAGAAAAAACCAGCAACAGCCTGTATGCCATTCATTGACAGCTGGTGAAATAATGTAACAAACGGCCTCAGAAAAATATCCATGTACCATTTCAAGTCCATGGGAGTTAGGACTGTTTTTTATTCTCATGATAGAAATGCACTGTTCAAGTGAATAAGTACAATAGGGATTTCAATTCTGTCCTGTCTCTTACTTTTTACAGGTATACAAAGCGAAGAAAACTGGTGCTACAAGTTCTAGGGATTGCTGAACCTGTACAGGCATATGGAGTCATGTCCCAACACGAGGCAATAGGATACATCAAATAGGAGTTTCTGACTCCAGGATGCTTAAAAGGTGTTTGAAGTGAACCTGCTCTTTGCCCATTTAAAGCACAATAACGGGTTTACTCAACCCCTTCAATACTAGGCACTTTCACCCCCTTCCTGCCCAGGCCAGTTTTCAGCGCTGTTGCACTTTGAATGACAATTCTGCCGACATGCAACACTGTACTCATATTACATTTTTATATTTTTTTTTTCACACAAATAGAACTTTCTTTTGGTGTTATTTAATTATCACTGGGTTTTTTATCTCTTGCTAAATAAACAAAAAAAGACCAAAATGTTTGGGGAAAAAAAAAATTTCTGCTATATATTGACATCACTTAAATGCCTATACCATCAGAGGGGGAGAATCTGAGACCAGACCAGGTTCCGTTGAGGGGAGATCTCCAGGCTGATGTTTATAACCAACGTGCACTACGATTGCGCTTCTGGTGAGTTTGCAATGCCACTAATCTGTCGCACACCACTTCTCACTTTATGGTATATTTCTGATTCCCAGATTATTTACGCACAGCCTGCTGGGATTTCATTTTGAATAGCACCTTCACACCATAAGAGCTAATCAATAAGACT